CCTTCTTTGTCTTTAGGACCTGTGCTATCACTTGGAAGACTCATCTCAAAGGAAAGAAAGGTTTTGTTTTTTGTTTAGAGAAACATAACTTTGGGAGTGATTTCCTCTTTCCCTCTCAACACCAGAGTTGCTTTGAATGCATGATTTTTCACCTACACCTTCTTCTCCTACCTTAACATTGGGCTCACTCACGAGAGACCAAACCCCAGCTATTCAGATATAATTCAGCTAACCAAACCAGCTTCCACAAGGCTAATGCATTGAGAGCGGGCAGGTGCTGTTTCAGAACCCAAACAGAACCTGTTGAATGAAGTACCAAATCTTATGTGTTAAAGATGGCCTCTCATAGTTCACTGTTATGGGGACATGATTTCACTGCAAATATATGTTGAGTCTATGTTGCGGTGCGCCGTGTTGAAATGGGTTCTACTATTAGGTTTTATGAGGTCTGAGGTCTTTCCTGGCTGGGGGTGAAGGAGAAGGTGACTTGGAGAGACAGAGAAGTAGCTCTTTGCAACAGGAGCAGACCCCAAACTGCTTGCTTGCCCTTCTGCCCAGTCTCTAAGACCCCCAGTGAGCACATGAATGTGTGTATATGTGTGTGTTTTGGGGGGGTTGGTACACATGTGTGCAGTGGTACATCCTAGTAATGGAAGGAAGGACATGTGTGAGAAACTCTGTGAGAGGAAAGAGCAAATGAGATCGGACCCAGAAGGTTTTCTGAGGCTCTGAAGCCAGATCTGTGGGTCAAGGGCATGGCCATGATCTCATAAAGAGTTGGCTACCTACCAGTCTGCTACACCTGGAGAATTAGAAAAAGGCAAAGGAAGAAATCAGTGACTATGGAACTTGTGGTCCTATCACATTGTTATTTGCCTTTTCTTCCCCATATCAAAGTCTAACTATCTTCAGAAAAACTCTGGAACTCTATTTAGTTCTAGAAGAACTAAAGTCTCCAGGAAAAGGGAGTTGGGGCCTGCTTAGAATAATCCAGGGTGTGTGTGTGTGTGTGTGTGTGTGTGTGTGTGTAGCCTCTAGAGTCCTAAACTCCAGTATCTAGCATCCAAAAGGAACAGAGTTCCCATACCCACCACTAAATGTGAGCGCTGAGCCCCACAGTCTATAAATCTTGAACTGGCAGAATGACAGCAGAATATATGCAAATTCCTGCATTACTGCAAATCTCTCATATCCTCAGCTGGGTAAGCTATGTTTCCTTTTCTTTCTGACTGTGAATATTTAATTATTTCCTTCTTTTTCTTTGAAACCAGGAGGTACCGAGATTGAAATAACATTCAAAATAAAGGAGGAGGGGAGTCCCAAGTCCACAAAGCAACTGCTTTGCACATTATTTTGTCCAACATGTAAAAGGAAAAACAAAAGCAGATAGCAGATCTGGACAGCTTAAGCCCTTGCGGAGTTACGTCACTGCAATAAACAAAGGTCAGCAGTCACTCTCTTTGAGGTTATATGCTCAGTTGGTGTGTATCTGTGTCTCTGGGTTTAGGACAAGAATTTGCACTGGTGATTTCAGTATGGGGCCTCTAAAGACAGGGACAACCTAAGGGTAAGGGGACCCATCTCTTGCTCCGATCAATGCATTAACCTCTGATTTAGGCCCCTTCTTTCAATCCTAGATCCCCATAAGCAAAATTGTTCCATTATAAAAGGGACCTTACCTGGCATTGTCTATTCCCAGGGTGGTGAAATAGATTTTGGCTGTGTCTACCCAGCAAAAGAGAAGGGGAGAGTTGAATGTGTTAAAGACAGCCATGAGAATTGATCAGAAACCCCTATCTCTGCTGCTCTCTATTTTCAATTGTAATCTGCCAGCACAGCTTGGCGGCCTCAGACGAAATTTTCTTTACAGATGAGGTTCCTCAAAGACAGCACAGCCACATTTAGGCTCAAGTTAATTCGGTTAAGTGAGGCCCTCTCCACTCCTGCCGGAGCCGGGAGCCTCGTGGCTACCAGGCCCCGGGAAGCCCTCTCCTCTGCCCCCAGGGCCTCCCCGCCCGTCTCAATTGCTCTGGACCAGTTCATTTCGCCACAGCTCGGAGCCGCTCGGAAAGCAAAGATTAAAGGGGAAAGTCGCAGCTGTATATTTATATTTTCATTGCTAGAAGGGAATTGATTTCCGCGAATTTATTTTGGTAGTTGTAATACACAAGGGCGGATTTGCGTCACCCGAGCAACTTGTCGGTGGAGATAAAGTTGCACAAATATTGAAAGGGGAAGTGCTAGGAGTCATTATAGAGTTTTTCTCCGGAAGAAATAAGGATTTCTGCAGTATCCTAAAATACTAAGGCCGCTTCTATTTTGAGACCAATCTCGCAGGCACATCCGCTCATTTAGTACGAGTTTGAGCCCATCAAAAAACAGGAGATGACCTGAACTCCGGCGAGCCCGGGGTTTCCTGCTGCTTTCTTGGTTCTGAGGGGTGGGCAGTAAGGACGAGGGGAGTCAGCGGGCTCAGAAGAGGGCGAGGGGCCCGCAGCGGCGAGACCTGATCCCGAGGAAAAGGGTGTGTGTTGGGGGGCGGTGGGGGAAGCAGGGCGTCGCTTCACAGGTTTCCTTTTTTGCTTTTCCCTCCAGGAGCTCGGGGTAGGCCCGGGTGGCGCAGACGCGGTTGCAATGGAGCCGACGGCCCGGAAGAGCAGGGGGCGCGCGCGAAGTTGCAATTTAGAACCAAGCCGCGGGCCTTTTCGGGGACACAGAAGAGCGCGCGGCGGGGCTAGGAGTCCGCAGGAAAACCCCGATCCCGGGCCTCATCTCCGCCCCGGCCTTGAAATGCTGCAGATGCGGGTCGTGGACGCCTCGGGACACCCGGAGTGCCAGCGTTCCTTCCAGTTTGCATCCCGCGCCCACTCCCCCCCCCCAGGAACGTGTCTTATTTGGGGGCGAGAGGCAGGGGTGAGGCCTAAAGACATCGCCTTTAGAACCTTGAGTTTGAACTTAGGCGCCACTATTTAAATGTTTGCAGTCAAATTGGAATTAGAAGTGACACTAGAAAAGAGAAGAAAAGCGGATTTATGGCCGTCCCCACACACACTCGCGCTGATGACTGTCCCTGGGGGCTGTGAAGGCCGCGTCCTTCCAGCCGAGTCTCGCCATAGTCCCCGGCCCCTGCCTGCAACACCTCCACTGGTGCACTTCAAGGAGGGTCCAATGCCCCATGCGGCCTTACACCCGTCACTCCTTTGCCTCTGTCTAGAAACCGGACGGGTCTTCCTGGATCTCTTGCCCCAGATGCCCGTATCCTCAGGCGATCCAACAACTCCATTCCATCTCTGGAAATAACACCTCTGTCCTTGCAGCAAGGAGCAAGGCTCGAAAACCCTTTAGTAAAAGAGCGATCTAGAGAGGGAGAGAGAAAGAGAGCCGATGGAGGCATGGGCAGGAGACAGGCAGGAGAGAATGTCCCAGTGCTGCATGGCCGGAAGTGATTGATCAGTGATTACTTTCCAGGAGAAAGTCAAAAGCGTAAAATGACAGCATCTGTAACAAGAGGCCAGAAACCACTAGAAATAAATTTAATTAGCCCCAAACCTGAATTTGACCCAGGCCTGGCAAGTTGCCCTTCTGGGTTGATTTGGTAAGACCTCTTAGTGCTGAAGTGAAATAAAAAAAAAGAAGTCACAGAAACTTTAATGCAACTGTATTAAAAGTTTTTTTTATGTTTCTGATTATTATACCCTGAGGACGTAGACATGCCTCAGAAGCACAGAAGATCAATTAGGAGATGCTTATTAGGGCAATCGAAAACAAAAGATTTCGTGGTTTCATTATTGTTATTATTTTATTTTCTTCCTGAAAATGTGCAAGAAGAGCTCATCTGGGTGGCCTGTGGTTTGTTTGGGAGAGGGGTGGGGAAATCCATTCTGACTGTAATTTAAAAGAGAAGGAATTCTTAAAATAGAGATGTTGATGTTGCAGAAAACCCCCACTACACCCACCCTGCGCTCTAAAGACCCAAAGCACGAATGGAAGGCGTCGGCCTCCACTGCAGCTTCTTTTGCGACCAGGCCCAAGGGGTTCCTGGGGAAACAGTCACTGAATTGAAAGTAGTGTTTAACCCCAAGGAAATGTGCTCTTGTGGGCACTTGCAAAACAATGGACCCCACGTGATCTGGGGTTGTGGTGGAGCTGGGAGGGCGACATTTCCTACAAGGTGCGGCAGCGGAGGGGACGCGCGTGCCGCTTTCCCGGGTTTCGGACGGCGGCCTGTTTGGTTGTCGTCTGAGGCTCGGGGGAGGGTTTGGCTGCGTCCAAGGGAGACGTTCGGAGACATCCATCTTATTTTGTTTGAAAAGTTGCTCGTCCAAGTTGTCACTGGGTGACAGCTTGGACTAAAGCTAATTTGCGAACCGCGCCTCCTCTCTTCCCTGAGGATCTCGGAGGCAGCGCCACCGACGCGGTGCTAAACTGGGCGGTGACTTTGGACCCCAGCTTTCTCGAGCCAGAGCTCAGAGCTGAGCAGCTTGGCAACAGGAGCCCACGAAGGATGAGGACACCGACTTTCGGGATAAAGGCCGAGTGAAGAAAAATCAGGCCCAAGTGAAGTCAGGAGGAGGGAACCTAGGGGGTCGCCCCCGTGTTCCAAGAGGCGGGCTTTGCACCCGTGAAAATACACAGGAGCACCAGCTTCTCTGGGCAAGCGCCGGCGCTGGGACCAACTCTCTACGTCCGATGCCGGTTTGGAGCTGCACAAGTTAGGGGAGGGTCAGAATTCCCTGGAGCCGCCGCCCGGGCCCCTACGCAGGGGACCCCGCTCAGCCCACGCGGCAGCAGCAAACACTTTGGCGTGGCCGGGGCGTGGCCCACCTCCTCGGCCACGCCCCTCTTTCCCAATTCCCCTCTACTCCCTGCTCCCATTGGTGAAGAGGATGGCCAATGAGCACTCGGATCGAGGTCCTACCCTGGATCTGACTCCGAAGCTTCTGCCAAAACTTTGGGAGTTTTTAGAGAGGAGTTTTTTTTTTTTTTTCTCCTATTACTTTTTTTTTTTTTAAACTAACGGATTATTATTGTTGTTGTTTTAAATTTAGCTCTTAGGGCTTAGCTGTTTGGGTTTCCTTTCGGTGCCCAGCCCCTGTCTCCCCGGCTTCCCTGGCGTGTGCGGAGCGGCGGCCCCCGCCCGCCCAGCAGCTTCAGCGCCCCTCGCTCGCCTCCAGCACGGGGGAGCGCGGGCGCCGCGCCGCCTTTAAAGTGAGGCCAGGGGCCGAGGCTGTGACCGGCCGGGATCTGGGCCTCGCCTCTTCCCTCGGTGGCGCTAGGGCTCCCTGTCCTGTTCTCAGTGCGGACGGAGAAGCGAAAGCGGATCGTCCCCGGCTGGGCTGCCGCTGCCTCCGGGACTCATCGCGCTCCTCCCTGCGCACCCACCCACCCACTGGGCCCGGCCCGGCCGGGCCGCGGCGGCAGCTCGGCTCACCCAGCCAGAATGTTCGCCGCCGGGCTGGCTCCCTTCTACGCCTCCAACTTCAGCCTCTGGTCGGCCGCCTACTGCTCCTCGGCCGGCCCGGGCGGCTGCTCCTTCCCTCTGGACCCCGCCGCGGTCAAGAAACCCTCCTTCTGCATCGCAGACATCCTGCACGCCGGCGTGGGGGAGCCGGGGGCGGCCGCGGAGGGTCTGGCGGGGGCCTCGGCCGCCGCCCTCACCGCTCACTTGGGCTCGGCTCACCCGCACGCCTCTTTCCAAGCTGCCGCCAGATCCCCGCTTCGACCCACCCCGGTGGTGGCGCCCTCCGAAGTCCCGGCTGGCTTCCCGCAGCGGCTGTCTCCGCTCTCAGCCGCCTACCACCACCATCACCCACAGCCACAGCAGCCGCAACAGCCTCCGCAGCAGCCGCAGCCTCCGCCTGCGCCCCGGGCTGGCGCCTTGCAGCCCCCTGTCTCCGGGGCGCGGGTGGTCCCGAACCCCCCGCATAGTGGCTCGGCCCCGGCCCCATCTAGCAAGGACCTCAAATTTGGAATTGACCGCATTTTGTCTGCAGAATTTGACCCCAAAGTCAAGGAAGGCAACACGCTGAGAGGTAGGTCTTGGGCGAGAGGCTGCAGGCCTCTGGCCACGGCCCTGGCGCACTCCCCGGTCCCAGGGCCATTTGGAATGCCTTTGAGTATTTGCACAATTAAGGACAAACCGGTAAAATGAGGGAGAAGAGAGTGAATTGTAAGAAGACTGTGAAACTTTAGGTTTAAAACTCACCTGCTCTGCGTTAAAAAAAAAAAAAAAGATTCCAGGAATGCTTGAAAAACACACGTCACAGAATCATTATTCATAAAAATCGTTGGTGTAAATATTTGCTGAAATGACTATCATCTGTCTCTTGAATCATGTATCTAGAGGGAGAACTATATTAATTTGACAGGGAAAGCCCTTTTGGGGAACACTTTCCCTTCCATTTATCTGATTTCTAGTGAAATTCCACTCAAGGAATGTAGGTAAACAAAATAGACCCCGGGCTCCCAAGAGAAAGCGGAGTTGGGGCTCCTTCACTGGGGCGGAGGTAGGTCTGTGGAATTCTAGCCAAGCACCTGGAAGTGACTTCCTTTTGGCCATTTTATATAAAGCCCTTCCTTGCTGTATGTGTAGACGTGGACCTGTGGGCTACACGCAGGAACATTTTGCGCATCGCCCCTTGGCCACTGTCGGGAGAGTGGGGTTTTGGCGCCGAGACAAGGGTCTCTCGTGACTTCGCTCCGGGAAAACCGAATCGAGGGGGAGGGGAGGAACAACTCAGTCCGAGAGAGTGTTGCTTTGCCCGAGGTGTAATCAGCTCTTCTTTTCCCTCGCCTCCAGACCTCACATCCCTGCTAACCAGCGGGCGGCCCGCAGGGGTGCACCTCCCCGGCCTGCAGCCCTCCGCCGGCCAGTTCTTCGCGTCTCTAGATCCCATTAACGAGGCTTCTGCCATCCTGAGCCCCTTAAGCTCGAACCCGAGGAATTCAGTTCAGCATCAGTTTCAAGACACGTTTCCAGGTACAGAAACCCTCCCGAGCGACGGCCTAACGGGGCAGGTCGACTGGCCCAAAACTGAGTACTGACGGCTCACGTGGCCACCGCAGTGCAGCAATCCCAGAGTTGGTGCAGGAGGCTACCAAGTCCGGAGACAGAAACCGAAAGAGTTCTCAGATAGCTGGCTCACTCTTTGGTCGGCTCCCGGGGGGCGGGGGGGGGGGGGGGGGGGGACCTGGGGGTGCCGAGAAAGTGTGTGCGTGGGCGGGCGGGGCGAGGTGGGGTGAAGGGGCTTTCCCTAGTCTTTTCTCCAGAGAGTGGCTTGAAAATGCAGCAAGAGGTGTTGCTTTTTAACACAACACAGAGTTAGGAATGACCTTGCCCAAGGGGGTTCCGTTTGCTCGCACGTTTGCAAGAACGTGTACATACACACACGTACACACACGTACACATACGAGAGTCAAAGCTGTCATCTCTCCATCCTTCAGGCCCAAGGGACAGTGTCGCCTACTTTTCGCATGCCCCAAAGGCCACGCGTTGGGTTTATGTTTTTTCTTTGGAATTAATCGACGAAGCGCGGGGCTTCTCCACGCCACACTCGCTTTAGGCCTTAAGCCTGAAGTCTTAAGAGCTGTAGGATCCCTCCGTAGGGAGGCCGTTGCGCGTCTGCGTGAAGGGCTTTCTGAATGGGGGTCCAAATGTTTAACGCAAAACACTTAGAAGCAGCACGGTGAGTCCCGGGCGCGCAGACCGCGGACCGGGGGGCACTGACGTGGCCCTCCTGTCTTTCTCTCGCTCCCGCTCCCGCCCGGTGGCAGGTCCCTACGCCGTGCTCACGAAGGACACCATGCCGCAGACCTACAAGAGGAAGCGCTCCTGGTCGCGGGCGGTCTTCTCCAACCTGCAGAGGAAAGGCCTGGAGAAGAGGTTTGAGATTCAGAAATACGTGACCAAACCCGACCGGAAACAACTGGCCGCGATGCTAGGCCTCACCGACGCGCAGGTAAGCCGGCTCTGGCTCCCGCGCGCAGCTCCCTCGCGGGGTGGGGGGCAGCAGCGCGGCCTAGCCCCAGGCCTCCCTCCACCCCGGCCCACTCGGCCTTTGCCGCGGAGACGCAAGGTCTTGAATTTCAAGAGACAGTGTAGGCGTCGAAACTTGAGTCTGGGGGGAGGGAAATGGGGGGGGGGAGAGAAGGACGGAAAGGATAGCCCATCCCCAAAGATGTATGTCAACAAGCGCTGCATGTTTATTTTGGCCAACAGGCGAAAGAACCGCGGAGAAAGCAAATAGGCCGCAGGAGATAATAATTATGTACTCCACTGCAGTGCAGTTCCCTGTAGGAGGCAGTTTATTTCAGAAGAGATAAAAATCCAAAGTCAAGAGATTGTTGTTGGGTTTTTTTTTTTCCTTCCCTCCTCCCGTCCTTCCTCCCTCCTCCTCCTTCTGCTGCAGCTGGATTGTGAAATCCCCGTTTGTGAGGAAGTGAAAACATCATTTCAAACGGAATGACTTAGCCCCAGCAGGGCGAGGAGTGCACTCCTCAGCAGCCAGTCAGTCCGATTTTCTAACGGCAGAAGCTCCTAAGAAAATCTCTGGGGGGGGGTGGGGGAGTGAGAGAGAGAAAGGAAAAAAGATTTTCTTAGAATACCCAAGAGCATTTCAGCAGGTTCTGCCTACTTGGTTTTTTTTTTTTTTTTTTTTTTCCCCCAACAAAATGGCCAGTTTTTTTTTTTTGGTTTAATTTCTTGATTCCGGTTTTTTTTTTTTCTTTTCTCCAATTCAAGAACTGGACTTTTTTGGGGGTTTTGGAAATAGAAGAGTTACCGTTCTTCCATACCCCACAGCAGTGGGGCCTTTGCTCCCTGGGTGCTCAGTGTTCTGAGTAGGGCAGAAGTCAAAGGCAAGCACCTTTTCATAGCTCCTTTAAGGGCCCCCCTCACCCCCCCTTGTCTTTCTGTCCTCCATTACACAACTCCCCTCCCCAACACACACTGGAAGAGCCCAGCCGTTTTCCACCAGCTGTGGATGTTATTTTTAAAAGGGAAGCTGGAACTTGTGTGAACAGCATTGGGTCCCCCAGGGGATTGTATATATTTATATAGATTCTCCACCCCATCCCTACCCCCTTCCTCCACTTTGCACAGGTTTAATTCCAGCATTTTCTAAGCCTGCAGAAGGATTAGTTTATCCCCGGCAGGGGCAGGGTCCTTATCAGCTTCTGAGTACACACATGCCAAGGAAGTGCTCTTCAACTGAAGGTCCAGCAGTGCCCCCACCCCACTGGGATTAACTCTTTGAACCCTCTTTCCCCTCTGTGCTTCCCACGGTTTCTCCTTAAGAAGAACTGCTTTTGTAGAAACTTGCCTTGGGTGGTGGCAGTCGAGGAGAGGACCAGCTTAGCAGGAATTCTTAACATTGGTTCACCAAACCCTTGAAATCCTGGGTATATTTTTTTCTGAGCCAGGGGTCCATAATTTAATCAGATTCTTGGGGAGTCCTGGCTCAAGTGGGGTTAAGAAGCATTGATTTAGAGCAGAAATTGCCCTTAGTTTGAGGCCGAGGGGCAGGACTCCGCCTTTCAACAAGCATCCAGGTCATTTCAGGATCAGGTCTGGAGGGCCACATTTTGAGAAACAGCCCTCGCGGGTTCCTTAGGCGAGGGTCCCCGGCGATGTCGTTGTTTCCCTGGGCTGCCCCTCGGCCCCTGAGCCGAGCTCAGTGCCTGGTCCATGGTAGAGGCGCGGGGGACCGGAGCTCCAGGCTGCACGCGAGTCGAGCGCCGAGAGCCCACGTCTCATGTCGGTGTCCCTTCCTGTCTCCCCGCGTGCTGCGGCGCAGGTGAAGGTGTGGTTCCAGAACCGGCGGATGAAGTGGCGGCACTCCAAGGAGGCCCAGGCCCAGAAGGACAAGGACAAGGAGGCGGGCGAGAAGTCGTCGGGCGGAGGCGCGGCTGCCGACGGTGAGCAGGAGGAGCGGAGCCTCAGCCGCTCGGAGGGCGAGGCCGAGAGCGAGAGCAGCGACTCCGAGTCTCTGGACATGGCCCCGAGCGACACGGAGCGGACTGAGGGGGCCGAGCGGTCTCTGCACCAGACCACGGTCATCAAGGCCTCGGCCGCGGGCGCCCTCCTCCCGGCCAGCGGCGGCGGGAGCGCGGGAAGCGGCGGCGGCAGTTTCAGCTTCGCCAGCCTTGGCGGCGGCGGCGGCGGCGGCGGCGGCGGCGGCGGCGGCGGCGCGGGGAGTGGGGGCGGCGGCGCCTCGGAGCTGCTGCCGGCGCCCCAGCCCACCCTCAGCGGCGCTCCGCAGAGTCCCGAACCCGCCCAGGCACAGCTGGGCGGCCTGTAGACTGCACGAGGCCGGGGCCCCGGGGCCCGCGTGCCGCCCCCAGCCTCCCAGGGTGGGCTGGATTTTGCGCCTGCTTTGTGTTGGCAGCGGGGCCGGGGCCTGAGACGCCGCGGCGGCCTTGCCCACGGTCCCACCTGCCCGTCGCTGCCGCGCTGGTGCCCAGAGCCCGGGGCGGGGTGGGGGGGGGGGAGCTCAGTGCCCCCGCCTGAGAACCCCGCGCCGGCCAAACACTTCTCCCGGGCGGCGAGCAGTTCACACTGTGAAGTGTTGGACGCAACAGTTCCTCCCCGCACTCGGGGTCGTGGCGCAAAGACAAGCTGCGCTTAGGGCGCCACAAACTTGTAAATAAAATGTTTACTACGGTTTGTAAAGGCCGCTTGGCTTGCTGGGGCGCTGTGGTCGTTAAGATCGGGGATCTCCCATCCGGACCTCAGCCTCGGGGCACTGTAGGTTACAGCAGCTGGAGGCGGGGGACAAGTGCTTTTGGAGGGGGGAGTGCTGCAACCTCGGAGCCGCCTTGCTGCAAAGACTGGCGTCGGGCTCAGAATTCATAGGCTTCCTTGGCCAGCCTGCGCTCCCCCACCACCGAACTGGTGCTCCACGACCCTGAGGGTGGCCAGAGGGCCACGGTGGCCACAGAATCTATGAGGCCTCTGGGGCAGATGGCCTCTCCACCCTGAGTCAGGACACTGTGAGTGGGCCCGTGGCCTTTTCTTTGCTGGTGAGTATCCAGAGTTGGAGTGGACAAGTTGTTGATGCCTTGGGTGAATTTAGCCACATTTGGTACTTACAAGGTGGCCACTCCAAGTCTGCAGTGGAGCTTTGGGGCAATTCTAACACAAGCCGCCCCTTGCTCCAGGATGGCTAAGGGGAGGAGATAGCATCCTGGAGGAAAAGATAGACAAATCACAGTGGTTAGGGTTGAAAAGGCTGGGCCTGAGAAAGTTTTAAGGGTGCCCAAACAACCACAGGGCAGGGAGCTGACTTGTTCAAGGTCACACCCAGGCAATAGCCCAAACCAGAGTTCAGACCTCCTGGCTCTCATCTGGCCAGGGATGGGTCTACAAAACTGCATCTCAACCCCACCCACGCACACATAATCTTCCTTGCAGTTGGGCCCTGCAGGCGCCCAGTGAGTCCCTCTGCAGCCCCCACCCCCAAGTTGAGAGGCTGCAGCTGAAATACCTGTTTTGCCTCCACGCTGCAACCGGGATGGGCCTTTAAAGTTTTTTGTTTTGTTTTGTTTTTGTTTTTGAAAGACTGAAGAGTAAAACCTCTCTCCAAGACCTGTCCTCTCTTGGCTCCCCTTTCCTCAAAACGAAATGTCCAGAGTTTGTATATAAATCTCTTTTGGGAGATTCAAAAACAGACTGCTGGCAAACCTGGCCACACGGGGCTGTTTGGCACTGAACCCTGGCCAGGGCACGAAGCTTCTTACAGGCCCACCACCCATGTCAAGAATGGGATGCTCTGTAGAGAGTGGTGCTCCCCCAGAGATGCTCAGGTCAGCTAGCCCAGGACACATCCCAGTCCCCTGACTGGAGTTGAGGGGGCTCCTAGCAGCTCTCTGATCTGGCTTAGCTTCTTCCCCATTTTGACTCATTGACTTGAGCACATTAAAAGACCGCTGTTCTAGAGCGGAGACCCCAGATTTAGCCTCTGCTGGCCTAGCGCAGCACAGGGGTGCAAAGTTGACCATTGCCTGCCCTGGTCAAACTCCCAGCCTCCTAAAGGAGCTGAACTCCTAGAGGAATGTGCATAGTGGGGAGGGGAGTGGGAGCGACCAGGGTGGTCCAGGGTAGGAATGAGAAGAGAGAGGTAGAGGGCTCTAGGAGGGACCTCAATTTTAATGGGAATGTGAACCAGCCATTATCTTTAAATGTGCCCAGAGTTTCCTGGCACAGCAGCCTCCACACCTGCTTGGGTTCTAGCTCTGGGGGGGGGGGGGGGGGTGATTCCTCCACCATTCCACAAGCTCTGCCACCCAAACGGCAGGATTCTCCCTGTACCTCAGTTTTGCCTTCACTATCAAGATTAGTTTCCTCTGACCCCTGAAATATTGAAATTCTGTAACTGGGACATCCCAAGGACATGGAATTTTGAGGCACTTAAATCCGGTGCTGGCATTCAGGAGAATAACATGGCAGCATATAGATCTAGTAGAGGAGCTCAGCTGGGGAGGAGTTGGTGCTTTAGGCACGAGGCAGCTACTCTGCCTCTCATAAGGCTCTCGAGGTGCCGGCTGCCCCAATCCCCCCTCGCATTTCTCTTCCTCGGGCCCGGGTTTAAAAAGTAAGGGAAATAATCGCCCAGGGACCTTAATAATACGATTTTAGGTACAGTTCGGCCTTACCAAGGCCATGATCTGCTAGACCAGAGGGCGCAGCAAAGCTGGGGTACCGGGAGGGAAATGCGCTGGGCGGCACCTGGGGGTGGCACTGGCACTGGGGCTGCTTCTGGAGGGTTCGCAGGAGGCGCCCTTCCTCCAACACCCTCCACCTCTCCTTCTTGAACATTTCCCCCGTGAAACTCTAGCAGGGCTTTAGCCTGGGCGGTGGAGTTCTTCCACGTTTTCATCAGGAACGGGGTATCTCAAGTCCAGGAGAAGTTTAAAGTTCATTTGGAAGAGGAGCAGTCGCAGGACGAAGAGTCCTCTCTAGGCCGGCCTGGTGGCGGGGAGCAAAAACCACATTTCGGGCCGGGTCGACTCATCCTGGGGCCGCTCGCTCGGCCCAGGGATCGGGAGTTTTCCCGGTGGCGCTCGATGCTTACAAGAGCGGCCAGGGAAGCTAGGAATTCTTGAACGAAGACCGAGATTTCTAAGGCGCCCAAGAGAAGGCCGAGCGCGCTAGATCCGCACACGCCAGGCCCGCCGAGGCCCGCCGGGCTGGGGCTTGGAGGCGGCGGCGGATGCGCGCGGGCCGCGGAGCCGAGCTGAGCCGCCACCCCCGCTTCCAGCCGCTTGCGGCCCAAGACTGGCCCTTCCCGAAAAGCAGCGAGAATTCTGCCCGAGTCGGATCCTGCCTCCCAGCCGCAGCGGTTCCCGCGGCGCCGAGCCCTCGGAGCGAGGTTACCGAGGCGCAGCTCGGGCGTGCGGAGGGGTGGCGGCCGCGCGTCTCGCTGGGGACTGGAGGGGGTCTAATACCCCCTTGGGTGCACGCGCGCGCACACCACAATTACACGCGTAGCTCACACATCCACATGCTCACATAGGCGCGCAGCAACGCAGACCCAGACGCACACAGGAGAGCCCAGGTACTGGCCATTTCAGCCTCTCCTGAGCAAAACTACACAAATAACGTTCTGCCTTCTCCAGACGGCAAAGCCGAGGAGCCTCACGCCGCCTTCTTCTGTCACGGTGGGTGGGTGGGGCGCTGGTCTCCAGAAAAGTTTCCTTGCGCCAAGCCTCGCCGACCAAAGCACTGAAAGCCGGCGTCGCTCCATTTGTCTGCCGCTGTCCAGAGCGGGCAGGGACCCGGAGGCCGGGAGTTGCTGGGAGCGCGTGGCCGTCGCTGCCCTGCCCGCCGCCCCGCCCCCAACCTGGGACCAAAGCTGTCCGGCCCGGTGGCACTTCAAGGCGAAGTCTTGTCTCCAATGGCCCGCAGACCAGTCAAGGAGATCACCTTCTGTTCTCACCCCGCTACCACGCAAGGATTCGTGGGTACCGTGTGTGTGTTGGGGGTGGGGGCTTGCTCCGACTCCGGTTATCATCAATCCCTCTCACTCCTTCCGCACCTCAGAGGGGACCAGTGGCTTTGGGATCTTTCCTGTGGCTGCTCCCTCTAGCTGGGGTCTGAAGTGGGGTGTTGGGGGTTCTGGTTTGAGGCCAGCGCAGAGCAGGTGAGCTCTGAGTGCCCAGCTCGCTGGTCCCTCCTGTTCTAGGTACCGGAAGTCAACCTAACTGGAAGGTGACCCCAGATTTCCTTGTGGTCAGTCACAGTCTCAGGGAACTTAAGGGTCCCCAGGGCGGGGCAGGAACCAGAACCTGCGGGGGGGGGGCTATTATGGGGCCGTTTCAGACTTGAGCTTTAACCCCTGTGGCTTTAACCTATTGAGTTTGAATCTATCCCCGCATCACACCCCGCTTCCCCTCAAGCCCATGCCGACCTCCAACAGACCCCCGGTCTGCGGGGCAGGGTGGTGGTGTTGGGGGGGGTGCTGAGGCAGCTCTGGAGCAAGAAATGGGAAGAGAGGTGGGAGGCTGAGGTCCATGCACCCTCCTCCCAGTTGCCCGCGGTTCTCCTCCACCTTCGTCCTCCTTTGAGAAGGAAGAGCTGGCTGAAGGACTGAGAACTCGGCCTTCCCCATAGGACGCGGTGACACTACTTTAAAGAGGGTAGAGAGGACCCTAAACATGCAGGGCCCTCACATCCCCCCTTCTTTAGTCTTTGGGGAGGAGGTTGCACACTCCATGATCTTTGTGAAGACCCAACTACTGGGTTTCGGAGGACTTTAACTGCAGGTATTTGGGCTAGGGGAGATACACCCCGACTTAACTGTGCTCGCGCACGCATCTGGCTCACCTTCTTCCCTTTGAGGTTGTAAGGGGATTGGCCTGGTCCTAAAGACCAATGAATGGCCTTTTCTGTGGGTTCTCCCAAAGCATGGGGATATTAAAACTTGCATCGGGACCCCCCTGTAGCCACTCTTTAGACTTCCTGACTGCTACGCAGGGCTGGGTGCACTTTCTAGCTTATTCCCTCCCCTTCTCCCACCCAGGTTCTAACAGGCACAGGCTTTGCGCCTCTGACAGGTGAGCTCAGAGAATTGCTGGCCCTTGGGTCCCTTAGATGTTCTGCCTTCTGTCATTTTATGAACAAGCATAGATGTCCTCACAGGTGTGATTACTTCTGACTTCCTCATTTTAAGGATGAGGTAACAGAGTCTGGGTTCTTCACACTTGCCCAACGTCCCCTGGAGAGTGATGCCAGGACTCAGATAAGGCTGTGGGGTTAGTGCTTCCTGAGGTGTAAAAGGAGAGGATCCTCTGGGACACACTTGATCAATCAGATTCTGATCTGGATTGTTACAGCTCAATGGCTTTTTAGAAAGGGCATAAGAGGTGCTGAGACTTTGTGTGTGTGTGTGTGTGGGGGCACTGTGAGCTCCAGTTGGCACACTTGCTCCAGGAGTTTCAGACCTGGGCCTCTCCCTGATTGATACTCCACCCTTCAGCCTGTGCCACCATTAGCTTTGCTAATATGTCTAAGGTCGGGACCACAGCCTGCTCATGGGTGAAGGTATCATCCTTGGTGTTTTTCCAATCCCATCAGTGGTTGCTGACATGTGGGATTCTGGGCAACACAAGGGGTTCGAGGCCTTATCATTTTTGTTAGGCAACTGCTGTGCTAGCACCTTCTTCCTCCCCCTG